TATTTTTATACTTCACAAATTCAAAGTCTCTTTTAATAGGCCTTTCCTAAAGGTCTTAAGTTAAAACATACTTTTTTGTATCCATTAGTAGAAGCAGTTGGTAAGCATTAAATATTACAATTTTAAGTCAAAGTCTCTGGTTATTTGAAAGTGTACTTTGAGTTAAAATAAGTTTTTATTTATTGAAACTTAAAATTAATTAATTAAATTGCATAAATTGTAATTTTTTTATCATCTTTTATTTAAGTTTATTAAAACAATTTTTATTTGTGCAAAATGTATATTTAAAATTTATTTAAAAAATATAGCTGCGTCAAAAAATGTTCGGAGCTATTAATTAATTTTGCAATGATGTTTAAATTATTTGTGTTAAGTGATAATATAAATTTGTTGTTGAACAATATAACCTTGAAATGAAAAAAATAAGCATGAATACAATTCTAAATATTTATTTCATGTGTGAAAACGGGTTTTGATTCGGTTTTGTGTTTTGAGTCAGACAAAGAAAGTGAACCCAGGAGAAATGCGCAGGGAGCGAAAGGAAGATGTGCGCAGTCAAGGGGATGAAATGGAATTCGGCCTGGCAAAGGCTCATTTCAATCTATTTATGAAAACCAAAAAGTCTTGAGACAAGCCAAACGATGGCGGTGCAGAGGCGGTGCTCTTATCACGGCCATTTGCCTCCGCCATTGCACCGCCAAAGTGGTTGATCCGGTTTACGAAACCCCAATCCCAATCCCCCAGAAAGCACTTTTGATTCGTGTGAATCTGTCGCTGGCTCTTCGGAGACTCGTTACGGGGCCAAAGGTCACCTGAGTGCGACATAAGTGAAGTCCCAAGTGCCGCCTTCCTATTATGCATGCCCACTTAGTTCAATCGATTCGGAATCAATTTGAGCCCAGACAAAACATGCAAATACCACTGACATCGCATTGAGTTCAGCAATTAGCGTCGCGGTGGTCAATTCACTCTAAGCGCGCACATTATACCGAAGTAACTCGATTTATGCGCCCAATTAGTCCCCTTGTAATGGAGCATGTTTTATGGAACGTTTGCCTGCGCACTTTACAGCGAATTAAACTAATTGATATGGTTAGAGAATTTTCATCACTTTAATTACATTAAGGGTTATCTTTATTATTGCCTTGACGCTGTATGACTTTGCAATGTAAATCTTTGTAATAGAAATAATAAGAAAAAGAAAAAATAAGAAAATAAGAAAAGGTGTAAATAAAACAATATAATTAATTAATCTTACATCTTAATCTTATTTTATATGATCGTTCCAATGGCAGCTATGTAATAGTCGTCCGGTCGGCAACGTTTCCTAGCATGATCTGTGTACACTGTACAAATACGATTTGGAGAGATTAAAGAATCATGCTTTTACACTGCGCGAAAAATCGGCATACGGAAAATATATGGAAGCCATATAGTCTACCGATTTTCATCGAATATCTAGGTATAGGTTATGGCAAAAACTAGCAATTTATACTAAAACCGCATAATTTATCATTTGTTCTGATTGTTTCTATGGGAGCTATAGGATATATGGATTTCTGACAAATTTTATTCAGGGTATAACAAGTAATAAACAAAATTATACACTTATAGTTATCTATTAACCTTACAATTTTAGGTAAAAATTTCGACTAAAATCTTAACAAAGGATTTTTCATACATTTTTTTAAACTCAAAACACAGGTCTACATAAAAATGAAATGTTAAACCTTAAAGGCAATATTTAAGTTGTTATAAAAGATAAAACTTGGAAAATATTTAAATTTTATCTAATGTCCGTTTATTTTCTTGACATACAAATTCAACAGATCAAGTAAAATCCATGCAGTTTAAGTCAGTTCAATATCCATTATTCTGGTGCTCTATGTTTAGGAATTCTAGGAAATGGAGATTCCAAAGTTGCGTATTTTATGGCTCGCCTATTTCAATTTTAATCCAGCAGATTTACTCGAAAACTTCATGTTCCCGCTGTAGACGCCAGCTGAACTTTGGGAACGGCTCACATTTTGCAACCAGATGCGGCGCTTTCGATTCTCCGAGTCTCAATTTCCCCCCAATTAGCGCCACTCCCCCTTTTCCAAACGCCCCTGGGCACACCCAGTTTTACGAGGCTATTACCAGTCGAAGCAATCTCTGCCAATTTCACTATCGGCTATCGGAGCTGGCGCAAAAATCTTTAAATTGTTGCAAATTACATTTGAAAACGTGCCTTTTCCCGGAGATGCATCCACTAGATTGCGGGAATGGGCAAAGATGCTCGACGATCGTGCCGCCGCATTTGAGAAGAAACTCATCGGCCAGCACTTCATTTCGTTGGACACTTTAACGAGCCCAAATACAAATCACTCACAGTGGTTCTGACCCGGGGCCAACGAATTCGAGAGTTACGCAAAACCATAATTAACAAACATTCGGCGAAATCCGTTTTACGAGCGCACTGCTCGAACTTTCTGATTTATTCGACTGCGTGCACGGAGAAAAATGCTATAGAATGTGAGATCTTAAGAAATTTACTACCAAAGATATGCATGTTTTCTGATAGAAAATCAGTCTTAATTACAATTAATTTTAGCTGAATAATATAATTTATTTCTTTAAATCATCGGGATACGTTAATTACACAGCTATTGTGTAAAGGCATTGGTATTTCAAGTCGAGAAACCTTTTCCAAGCTCAATGACTTTTTTCTCCGTGCACCAAGAGGGATTGTATATGATTTATCCGAATGGTGGAAATCGTAGGAAATCCTTTCCAGCAGTCACATAACTCTTGCTACCCGGCTGATGGATGTGCGCGTCTAATGAAGTCGTCGGGTCGTTGTCACCATACTTCCACCATTTGTTTGAGCCCAAAGCCTATGGATCGCCTACGTGACTACACCTACGAATGGCACCCAATGAGCCCAGTTTAACCGGTGACAAGGGCTGAGATTTCCTTCGACTAGATTCATCGAATCGATTGCACTGTCTGCGTTCGAATACGGAAAATAGTGATTAAAAGAATGGCTATACCTAATAGGACACACTGCTGTTTTCCTTCGCCAGTCACCTTTGCGAGAATTTCATATCCATTAAACCTGCTCAGACATCCATCAAAATGTTGAAGCATTGGAATCGAATATGAGATACGTTGTAAATGAGATACGTTGTTGTTGTATAGATACCAAATTACTACACTGATAAAAACAAATGAAAAGGAAACAAAATTTGACTATTGAATAAATATGTATAAATATTTCTTTTATTAAGATAAATAAGATAAATAATAGTATATACAATGCATATTAAACTGCTTTCAATTTTCGTGGAAAGTATTAGATTTAAAATAGTTCTTATTTGATAAAATTGCATTTTATATAATTTAAACATATTTTAAATTTGAATTTCATTTTTGATAAATTCGAAATTATAAAAATTGTAATATTGACATATTTAACATAACTAAAAACCGCAATAAAACAAAATCAAAGAGAAAAATATTTAAATTGAGTACAAAATATTTGGGCTTACTGTCTTTTTTCCCAGTGTAGGTATAGGCATGACCATTATCCTTTTTTTATCAGTTTGACAGTTAAAAAATTTGTATATTCAAATTGATAAGTGTCTTTTTGATCTTCACATCTTCTTACTATCATCTATATCATCTTTTAATAGTGCTTACTTTCTTAAGCTTTATTTTTAATGAAAAACTATATTTATATTTTTAGCCATTTTCCGATGATCCGATTTTATTTAAACGTCTGCGCAACTGACGTGCAAAACTGAAAATTCTATACGCTGAGCCAACATTACTCTGTTTTGGGATTGCCACACCCATTCAAGGATAGGCTGGTCAAAAGGTCCTTCGCATGACCCTCGACCAATAATGCTGTAATAATGAGCCACGCCCTGTTATTGGCAATAGCGATCGTTATCGGACCTCTCTTTCGCCTGGCGCAAATCCTTTTCTTTCTCTTTTTTGCTGAATTTTCCTTTTCTTATCCTTTGCGTGAACTGCTTGATTGACCCACCCCCTCGGTAAAATTAGTCAGGACGCATGTGCACTGCTTACACTGCTTGGCGGTAGTAAACTGGTTACTGGGCGTTTCAGCAGGCGGCCTATAGATGGCGCCACTGTGCACTGGCCATTAGCAAGTTTTCCCGGTAACTCGCTTTTCTGTTTCTAATTGAAGGTTTCCATCTGCATCATCTGCATTTTTGTATCTGTATCTGTATACGCATCCTTCGCGGTGCGTGCGCCTTCGTTTCTGCTGGCCGACACCACCACTTGGCCATATTTTACCGCTTTTAAGCAGCGCGTAAATACTCACGCTTACTGCAAGAGTCCATTAAACGGTCGTAAAATCTTTACGAGTCCCAATATGAGATTCTCTTAATACGATTTTTTATGATATTGAAATCTCCTTTCGCAGCGAGCCCATCATCGCCCAACTTCGAGTCGAGAGAGACCATCTGAGGCCCACTCGCATTCGCTCCCCCCTACCCCCTGCAGTTCGCTTTTCCGCTTTTTTCCAGCTGAGGGAAAGCGGGAAAACTGAAAAACCACCGCCGCAGGTATCAAAATGGCCACCCCCTCGCCAACGGGGCGTATTCGTGTGTTTAAATGTCTTGTTGAGGCCTATAAAACACGCTCGTCATTCCGAGCGATGACGAAAAGGCAGCGATTGGGATGTCGAATTTCATTCAGTTATCCACGGGCAAGGAAAACATTAGGGGGAGACCTAAATTAGATCAAGTTTGATTTTCTGGACCTTAGAAATTAGAAAACCAATCTTTTATTATCAAAAAAAGTAAATACACATTCAAATATAAAATTAAGGAAAAGCTTACAGGAATTTAGCAAATATTTCATAAATTCATTAAATTGCTTTATGTTCAATTTCTGTACAGCTATATAAATTTTTTAAAATTGCAATCATTAAATGCTGTTCTTACATTTTTTCTTATTGATTAAAAATAAAAGAATTTTTGTAAAATTTTTTAAGTAAAGTTTATTTTTTATATTGTGTTCAGTTTTTGCATACTATGTACATACTTTTGGTTACTTTAAGCAGTCAGATAAACGAGTTTTTTGTTAGCAGTTTTACGTTAAACGCACTCATGAACTGCCACCGCTTGAATCCCCACCAGAATCATCACTAGTGCTACAATCATCGTCATCATTGTCATTAGCTTCGCCCGCACACAATGAGTTAACAAAGAGAATTAGGCTCATAGCATCTTGACCAAGGCACAAGGCAGCCATTGCGTAATCGCCCTTTTCATACTGCCCATCGATCACTTTTTGAAAGTTGAGGAGAAGGGAAATGCTAACAAACATTGGGATAGAAACCAAAATTTTAGATATATACACACATTCTTACCAAAATGGGTGTGTACACAAATGGGCTGCCGCAAATAGTGCCAATAAAATGTATTTGCTCGAGGGCCTCCGAAATACTCGAGTTTCAAAGCACATCATTATGAACATGCAAATTAGGGAACCAACCACGGTCCCAAAATTGTTAGTGGATGAATATTTGACACCATCATAGAATAGTCCCAAATAAACTGATGGCAAAGTTATTATCAGGCTGATCTGTAATAAATAAATAGGGTTGTGTCTAAAATGCTATAATATCATCTCATTTTATACTCACTGCCACGATGATAATAGCCCTCCAGCTAAATTCTTGATGATTCGATGATTCTTCCCAGGGAATTTCGCTTTCTGCAAGGGGTGGATCAAGTTCCTCGTCTTTGTTTCCTTTGCATATGATACCATTCTCTGACTTTCTCCCATTCTGACCGCTTTTAGTTCCCCCTTTTCTAGTAGGATTGCACCTATTCATGTGTGTTTGCATTTAAGAACACGTGTTTATATTGTATATGACAAATTCAGAAAATGTTATGTGACTACAAGATCCTTAAGAATAAATAATGAATTAGTTAGTTCCAGAATTTGCCCCTTTTCTATTCTTAAAAAATGTTCTCATTAAAATGTACGATTATTGTGTGAAAAATTAAAAATTAAACATATTTAAATTTGGATTTTATATTTAAATTTATATTTATATTATATTTTTATATTTATATATTTTATATTAAATTTAATTATTTATATTTGAAAATATTTAACTAACATCGTTTTTTTACAATCATTAAGTTACGGCTTTTACTAATAATATAAAATTATTTCTTTTTCTAGATTATAAATCATCTGCGAAAGTGGTGAGTGTAAATTTAAGTACTTAAGATTATCCTTTTGGCTTAAGCCCAACAAATCGCCATTTCATGCTTTATAATCTAGTACTATTGTAATCTAGTAATTATTGAATGCGCAATTTACAAAACAATGTATCATTAGTGCAATTAAAATGCAATAAAATTAGAGGGATACACACCCAGGCAGACGAGCGGACATTAGGTGTGCACTCGTATAAATTTTATTGAGTAATTCGGAGGTGACTCGAGATCGCTGCTGTGCAGATGACACGGAGACCCAGATTCGGGGTGACCCATAAACCCGACCGCATCGGGGATTAAAAAATGATTGCGTGAGAAGGCATTTAGTAATCGTTGGAAGAACTCATTCGTCAGGCGATCGGGGGCGGGGTAAGCGGGGAAACCGCGGCCAAACAAGCCGTAAACCGACGCTATAAAAGTGTATCAAATTAGGGAAAGAACTTGATGTGCAGGGAGTTTTTATTTCCACCGCCACTGAGCCGCACTTTTCACTCGGGGCGAGTCTCACTCAATGCCATTGATTTTATGGCGAGTGACAATTGATTCTGGTCTCATTACTCACTCCTGCACTCGTCTCTGAGCCGAAATACTTTACAGTCTTTTTATGGGCAATTACTCCTGTCTTCTAGCGGGTTTTACGAGCCGCACTCAGCGCCGAATTGCACTTGCTACAGCAATAGTTTCTGAGGTTGTGGGAACCAACGAAAGGAAAACTGGCTGCCAGCTTATTAAACGAATGGATTTTCGAGTGCGTCACGAATGCAGCTAAAAGTGTGTAGTGTATGTCCATATTTTTTGGCCAAATTATAGCATGTCAGTGAATTAAAGCCTACATAGTAGTTCAATAAATCCATTGAAATGAATCATAACTTATTATATTTTAAGGAAACGAACGAAGGAAATTACCACCTTAATAATAATGGGGAAATGATTTACAAATTACAAAATGTTGTATATTTAAAATGCAAAATGTATTTAGAATATTTCAATTTAACTAAATGAAAAAATAAAACTTTCTTACATCCAAAAAAAATTGTCGTAGAAACTAAACTATTGTTACATGAATATTAATCTTTTGGGTATAACAATTTCTCAATTAGAGGAGTAAATAACCAATACGAACGTATTAAAACAAATCTTATGTGGCTTAAAACAAGGCCTTTGACTACAGTTTAAGACTCTTCGGTAAAGTAATGAAAAAAAAGTATAAACATATTATTATATATTGATTATTATATATATTATTATTATTGAACAAATACTTATACTTTAATACTGTCCGTAGTTTAGGTTCAAGACACACTTATTAAAACTAAACTTTGTATTTTTTGTTTGGGGGTAGCACTATTTAGTAATAAAAATATCAAAAACAAAAAGTGGTGTTCTTAAAAATTAAATCGAAAATGAATAGGCTATTGCCATTTTTACTATCTTCACTTTCATGTTCTAATTTGTCAGTATATTTATTGTTTTACAAGTGTTTCCCTTCTTTTTATGCCTATTTTGTTTTAGATTCAACCTGTCGCACGAGAGATTACAACGGAGCTGTTTCTTTTATGGTTTGTTCCGCTTTTGTTTAACGGTCCCGAGGATCACACGCAATCCCACGCAATCCATATCCACCACCGAAGTCAGAAAAACCCGACTCAACGCTACGCAACGCAACTCGACTCAACCGAAACTCGACTCTTACCCCCGGGCACTCAAAATAGTGTTTTATTGTTGAAAATTACACTTCTTTTATTTATTTACGTTTTTCTGCATTTTCTACTGCTCACTCACTCTCACCCAGTTTCAATTTTTATATGTTTATTACGATTATTATCGTTTAATGGGGCTCGCTCGCTCGTTATTGCTGTTTTTGTTATTGTTGCACCAGTAGTTGTGTCAGACAAACGTGTGAAGTTGTTTTATTATTTGTTTTGATTATCAAAATGGGCGTTTTACATTTTTCCGGTCGTTGGGCGGCCCACCTGCCATGGGCCCCCAGCTTATATACCATATCCCATAACCCCAGGGCAAGGGCAGTAAATCACAGCCCGCTGTGAGTGCCTGAGTATCTGGGCAGCAGTACACTCGAAAATGAATAGCCCTTTTCTTAGGAATTTGTCTAAAATTAGTAGCGGATGGTTGCGGCATTGTGGTTAGAAATTAAATCTAAGCGATTAAACTTCCAAACCGAAGGCGTACAATCTATTTTTGTTACTAATGCAGAATATAATGTTAAAGTTTTAAAATGCACAGACTCCATGAACAATTTAACTTTTAAATAAAGTTTTTAGTAATAATTTTGATTCCTTAAAAAAAAGTGCCAAAAAATATTACTAACAAAAATATGTTACTATGAGCAAGATTTAAAAAAATAATATCGCTAACATACTAAATTCATGTAAATTTCTGCCAGTGATCGAGTGAGATCGAGTGCACTCAGTGCTGGCCACTCATTCGCACTCTCCGTATGACCCATAAACATAAACCAAAGTGTGGCAAAATGTTTAATTTGGAATTTATGAGCAATTAATTTTAAAGCACTCGCCCGGCAGTTAACGCTGTTTCTGCCCCTCTCCCCTTTCGGCCATCGCCCACCCTTGGCCATAAAAGATTTAACAAGCCAGTGTGCCAAAAATTGATTGTTTAGCCAATCCGCTGATTGATCAATTATTCAATTGTTATCGCCCAAGATTTGGCAATCACGTTTGAGCAAGACCAGCAAAACTAACCGAAAGACTATTATTAAAGAATTCACCGACTGAATGGCCTGGTGAGAATTCCATTAAACTGGCAGGTGCAAAACAAAAAAATTTATTTAAATATGTTATGGTAAATATAATCTTAATGAAGCCAAACAAAATGTATTGAAGTACTTTAAAGCTGGTGGGAATAAAATTTGTACATTTTTTAGAATAAGCAAAAAAATTGTTAATTATTATTGATATTTACTGAGTACAATTATTTTAAGGTTAATAATATGTTTTTTATAGAACGGAAAACTAAAAATATCAACATAATTTCGCTCTTTTTTTTAAGCACAATGTAAAACACTCAATATATTTTGTATGAATTCATTTCAAGTAAACAATCATTTCATTCCATACTATATGAGATCAATACAGGGCAGCGTATTTGTTTGGATTGTGATATACATTTTTTGTAATATTTGTAATATTAACATCATATAATATAACATCACACACAGCTTATGTAAAACAAATAATAAATACAGTTGAGAAATTGTATATAAAAAGAATTTGTATCATTTATTTAAAAGTACGATGATTAAATATTAAGTTTTAATATAAAATAAAAGTTAAAGAAATAAAAACAAATATTTTGTTTACCAAACTTATTTTTAATGTAAGCAAATTGAGTCTTATTATTTAATGCAGCTTTTCACTCACACCATCCCTGTCCCACTCAAGTATGTTTTAAAGAGTCAGATAGCAAAGTTCTATAAGTGGAGAAGTTAAGAAATTGCAGATACACTTTATTTCCGCACACATTTGCCCTATTCCAGGGAAAGAGATGGGAATAGAGAGCAAAAAAGAGGGGGTGACAGAAATGCTTGTGTGTTGTCCAATTTCAATCGTAAATTTGAAATTTTTCATAAAAATGTCATAACAGCAATTCCAGCGACAAAAAGAAAAGAGAGAAAAGAAGGCGGACAAAAGGCGACGGCCGAAAAAGTGAAGAAGCAGAGATGACTTTTTGCAGAGTCGGCGTTTTTCATCTATCAAATTTATGGATTTTTCGTTATGCCACTGGGGGTGGGCCCATAAAAAAATAAAAAAACAAATTTTGGCTAATTTGTATCGAGCAGCACTCACTCAAACGCCGCACTCAGCATGAATAATGCAGGGTAATTTGATCAACAATAACATTTTGCCAAACAAAGCATAAAACACTTAAAAAAGTCATCCACTCATAGGGAGACTCAAATAGTTGCACTCAACGCTCGCCCATTCTCACGTTATAAACCGGGAAATTAAGCGCGCTCTCAAAAAGCCACTCAAATGAAATAACTCACTCAAAGTGGCGAGGCGGCCATCATGCGAAAGAGAGAGAAGGCGAGAGCCATGGCAGTGCAGGCCGCGAGTGAATGGTGGGTTAAGGCGAGACAGCCATATGATTCGACTGCGCTGCCATCTTTCTTATTGCCGCCGCTGCCGCAGTCGACGTTGAGTGACTTGCCGCGAGTGAGTGAGCCGAAATGAATTGTCACAGACTCAGCATCCAGTTGCCCATAAGAACGCTCGCATGGCTTTTGTATTGCGCCATAAACGTTTCGCTGCTCGTAACGCCACAACGCTCGACGTTCGCAGCGGCCTTCGCTTTCGCTTCTCTTCTCGCGCGTAAAGCGGTCTCCCCAAAACAACAAAAAATAGAAAACAAAAATACAACAAACTAAACAGCAAACCCCATCCGCAGACAGACAAAACTCAAGTCTCCAACGACTCAAGCGTCGCAGCCGCAGCCGCTGCCTCCGCCGACGTCGCTGCCCGCGCCGGCAGCAAGAATTACCAATTACACGAAATTTTTATACTCTTTTAAAAATTTCGTTTTATTATAATATTTATTATCGTGGCGCGCAGTAGTGTCTGCGGAACTCAGCTCTCCACTCTTGGCTTGCCCGATTCTCGGCCCTCCGATACCGATTCCGATTCGGATTATACGACCATACGATTCAGTTTCCGATTCGCCGTGTTTATTGTTCCGATTCGGCCGCCGGCTTATTGTCACTTAACTGTTATAGAGCGCATAAAAGTATATATTGTGTGAAAAATCCAAATAACCGAAAAAACTGTCAAAACACTCGGTTTATAACTCTGTGTGTGCGGTGCATAAAAATTAAAAAACCATAAAGTTGACATCGTAAAAGGTTTTTTCCGGTGTTCGATAGTTCTACCTGCAAAGTGTTTTATGGCATTTTAAACAAAGTAATTAAAGCAAAACGTAGGGAGAAAGCATTTCTCCGGCCACACACACACTCACGCACACTTGAGAAGTCGTTAAAAGCCGCAGGGAAACTCACTCTGCCATAAAATACAAGAGTGCCATTAAAAAAGATCGCGCGCCTATAAATCACACGTACGAAATCCCGCCGGCACAACGTCCATTCGAATTTCCGCGTAATTGATGGCCGCATTTTAATTGCTTTTACAACAAATAAGAGATACACACACCAAACACACACACTTGGGCCACAGCTGGCACAACAACGCAACCCGAGACCATATGCAAATTTAACAAATTTCGTTGTGAATTCGTCAGCTTCGAGCGAAAATAAAGTAACAGAAAAGCTGCAAAGTTGAACAAATACAAACTGCTCGCCAAAAGTTCGCTAGAGAAAAATCCCGAGAAAGGTAACGAAATGCATTTCCCTTCTCAGAATCGAGAAAAGTAGCTTAAATTTGGACAGGTGGCAAAATTTTTAAAATCTATCTCCTCACGAAATCTATCTAAAAGCTACTAACTATTTGCCATCTCATATAGTCAACTAATTTGCGATTAACCCTGAAAAACTTCGCTCCCGTACTAACCCTTTGGCATGTTCAGGGAAATCTAGCAGAAAAATATATAAAACATCAGGATTATATATATTTTTATCTTGAGTTCTGTATCGCGCTTCCCGAAAGATTTATGTTTAATCTAAGCATATTCAATTTGGCTAATGTTCTTTTTATGTTTTCCGAGTCGTTTTTATAAGCAGTATATATTTTTTTTATTTCTACTTGTTTCTTTTTGTTTATCACATTTTAGGCAGCGCTTTCATTTGACGCGATGTTTATTTTCGCCTTTAGTACATTTTAATTCGATCAATTTGGTGGTGATTTATATAGTTATTCCATTGTAGTTTGCATTAAATTATAAGGCAGTAAAGTAGACCAAAACAAGAATAAAAATTTCACAATTTAATGGTTTATATATTACCTAGCTTAGAAAACTAAATAAAAACGATTTTAAAGTTATGGTATTATTATTAGAAAAAAATAATTTGCCTTAGTTGTATTCAGCACATGGTTGCTCTGGATTTAATTTCAATTGTTTATAAATTCGAATGCATTTAAGTCAAAGGAAAATTAAAGGGGTTACAAATAAAGAGAACTTAAATATAATTCAGCTAACGCTTTTTTGAATAGCGCTCTTTTCTCCGCTGAATTCAAACAAAATTTGTTAAAGCCACACAAATGCTTAAAATCTTTTAAACCAAACACTCAACCTAGCCATTTACTAATCGACTCAAATAAATAACTAGAACCACTCGAAGAAAGCTCCGAAACCAAAAAAAAGAACAAAAAGTGAACGAAATTCCGAAGATTCGATCCTCGGCCAGAGAGCAAAATATGTGCAATGTCAAAATTTGTTTTCGATAGTATGCTGCCAAAGTATCCACAGTTCCAGCCGTTTATCAGTTCGCACCACCTAACCACCCCCCCGAATTCGTCATCTGCAGCAGTTGCCGCCGCCCTAGCCGCCGCCGCCGCCTCTGCCTCCGCCAGCGTCTCAGCCAGCAGCAACAGCAGCACCAACAACCTCGCCAGCAGCAGCAGCTCCAACAACAACAATAACAACAGCAGCAACAGTCCCAGCAGCAGCAGCAACCACAACAACAGCAGCAATCTCAATTTGAGCGGAGGATCCCTTTCGCCGAGCCATTTGAGCCAGCATCTGGGCCAATCGCCCCACTCGCCCGTCTCCTCCTCGTCGCCCTTCCAGCAGCACCACCCACAGGTGCAGCAGCAGCACCTGAACCACCAGCAGCAGCAACATCTGCACCACCAGCAGCAACAGCACCACCAGTACTCCTCGCTGTCCGCCGCCCTTCAGCTGCAGCAGCAACAGCACCACATCAGCAAGTTAGCAGCCGCGGCCGTCGCCTCCCACGGCCACGCCCACCAGCAACTTCTGCTAACGCCCCCGTCGGCGGGCAACTCGCAAGCGGGCGACAGCAGCTGCTCACCGTCGCCTTCGGCCTCCGGCAGCTCATCGCTCCACCGCAGCCTCAACGACAACTCGCCGGGCTCCGCATCCGCGTCCGCGTCCGTATCCGCGGCCAGCTCCGTTGCCGCCGCTGCAGCCGCCGCCGCCGCTGCGGCCAGCTCCTCATTTGCCATCCCCACCAGCAAGATGTATCCGTACGTGTCGAACCACCCGAGCAGCCACGGAGGACTCTCCGGAATGGCAGGCTTCACCGGACTAGAGGATAAGTCGTGCAGGTAAGTAAGGGGTGACCCATTTTTGAGGATGTCCCAAGAAACTAAACCATACCCTCTAACCATTCCCACCTCCCAATTAGGTTTCAAAATGTTCTGTCTGTAACATTGAGTAGTTAAAATTAGAGAGGCATTATCAGTCTCTAGCGAAAAAAAAATAAGAAGAACTCGAATCTCCATAACTTTGATTGGCTTTTCAATAACTTGATTTTTGATTTACATTTTTTTTGTAGATGATTCAGTTGTCAGAGTTTTCAAAGCTTAGATTTTAAAACAAACCCGTTTTAAAGATAACATAATTAAGATTTTTATAAATTAAAACATTGTTCTAGTGCTGAAAATATTATATTTTTTTTTCTATAAAAATAATCTATTAAACCATTTTAATCGGCTTCAAAAATGTTAATCTTTTTAAATGGTCGTTAAAACTTAGATTTTATTATACATTTTTAATATAGTGGATTACATATATATTTGAAGGATTTGATAAAATATAAAAATATTTATTAAATGTGTTCTAATGACCAGTAATGTAATGTACTTAATATCAAAAGAAGAATCTTTTAAGAAACTATAAAAAGGTACACTTAGTCAGCTTCCAAGAATTCATTCGGCATGCTCTCGATTTCGCGGGCGGAAATGCCTGTCGCAACCTTCAGTAAAATCTGCAAAGACCACAAAACCGCAAATCCGTTTCGAATGCGCTCTAATTATCGGGTCCCGGGTCC